AGGGCCTGGGTTCAATCCCCGGTCCCGCCAAAAATAAAAATAAAAATAATCCAAATCTCTTTAAAAAGGGGCCTGGCCCTAGCTCAGTCCCTAGCTCTGCTTCCACAAAGCTGTCAGCCTCAGGTTGCTGTGGGTCAATCCCCACAACACTCCAGCCAGCCAAATCTGCCCTGAAGGCATTCGGAAAAAAAAAAAAAAAAAAAAGTCCTTAAGATACTGGTGGGGAAAGACTGCACGCTATTTGTGTGACATACTTTAAATATTTAAATAGTCTAAGTGCCTTGCAGACAAGAGCAACTTATTCGTAAATGTTTCTCACCAACACTCAGCAATGAGACTTCATAGAAAATGTTCCTAAGCATACTTTTCATTTCTATGAGAAGCTCTGCTAAAAGCAGATTTCCAGCTTTCATCCCTGGAGATCCGGCTCCTTTCCCACCCACTCATCTGCCTCTTCACTGGAGTCACCCCACAATCTGTCTGCAGGGTTTTATTGCACAACACATGCTCAGTCTCAACATGTGAACCCTCCAATTCTTCCCAAGCTAACACCTTGGCCAACGTACTTAAATTCTGATCTGAATTTCAGTAGGAAATACCGCACTTAGTTCTTACAGGAACGCTCAGCACACTTTCAGCGGTCGCAGCTCACTGTAAGAGCTCAAGCGAATACACAATGCCAAGAATGCAAGGTGAAAGCTCAACAAATATGAGTGCTCAAGGTCGCTGGGAATACCAGAACAAAAGAGCTGCAGTGAAACTTTTATTTGGAGGAGAAAGTACACAACAAATTCAGATAAGGACATGACACAGTGTGTTAAATAGTGAAAAGTACAGAGAAGGGTCAGAGATTTGAGAAGGTCATTAAGAGTTCTGTATAGGGCGACCACTATAGTCTTCCTAAGAGGGCGACACTTCAGCAAGAAGTAAAGTAGCTGGGACATAAGTCACGAATTTGTGGAGAACAGCATTTCAGAAAAAGAAAATTGCGAAGGTGAACGTCCTAAGGCTAGATGGGGCCTAGAGTGTGTGTGGGAGACATCAGGAACAGAGGAGCTGAAGCAGGGGCAGGAGATGGCGGGAGGCGGTGAGGTCGACGACGCAGAGGGGACCATGCACAACGCCATGGGCTTGGGCTTCTCCTTGGTGACGGAATACAAAAGGGGCATGTTAGGCACAGCAATGACATACGTGATCGAGCTCATGCTTTACCTGTGAAGTCTGTGTTAAGAGCAAGAGGGTGGAGTGTGCCAAACAGAACAAGGAGAGCTCTTGAGAAAAGGCTGCGGTAATAAAGTGGGAAAAAATGAGTGGGACGGATGAGAAGAGGTGGCTGGATTTGAAAGTACTATGAAACGGATGAGCCTGGCCCCAAAGTCCTGCTTAGTTTTGACATGTTGAGGAAAAAGAAGTAGAAAAGGACTGCAGCAGTTTTGGGGGGGCCAACTCACAACGTCGAGCAGCCATCCCCTGAGACAGAGGCGCAAGGGGTGGGCACAAGCTCCCGCGGGGCAGGCCCTGGACAGGGCAGGGCAGGCAGGCAGGCCGCGCTGCAGGACAGTCCAGGCGGGAGATGCGGATCTGGGTGAGCGCCGCAGTCACTACCGCTTGCCACGAGATTCACAACTGACGGGACATAACAAAAACTTAGACTCGAAGCATTCCAAACTTCAGAGGCAAGAAAGGAGAGACGCAGCTGCGGGGGTGAACAGCCAGAGAGTTCAGAGGAAAACTAGGAGAAATGCTTTTCTAATCTGTCTCAAGAAATAATAGTGTTAATGCTAGGTTAATAGCTGATGGATTAAAAATACCAAGTCCTAGTTCTTCTGCCTCCAAAAATATAGCCTGGGGAAAAAAATAAGTATATATATATAGAGAGAGAGATAGATCTCTCTCTCTCTCTCTCTCTCTCTCTCTCTCTCTCT